GAGGCTGCCTAGAGTTGCAGGGAGGGGCATTGGGGAGTGACTGCTAATGGGAACTGCTTTTTGCTGGGGCCAAAGGGTTGAAGATGTTCTAAAATTAGATAATGGCGATGTTTATACAACCCTGTCAATACACTACAGATAATTGAATTGCATATTTTAAATGGGTGGATTATATCTCAATAAAACAATTTTAATAAATATAACTTAAATCCTGTAGTTTTTTTGCTCTGAGAGGCTCCCTCAGAGCCTGCAGAGGCTCCCTACAAGGTGACCTAGCCTTAATTTCCTTTCTGATTGTATCTACCCCGCCACCCTAGACCTTCTCAAGGTGCAGGGCCCACTGCTGCCTTAGGGCCTTTGCCCCTGCTGTTCCCTCTGCTGGGGAAGCTCCTTTCCCAGGAGTCCCCTGGTGAGCTCCTTTTGTGTCAGATCACCTCTAGGCTTTCTCTGGTTGCTGTTTAGAATTACAATCTCACCAACCTAGAACTCCTTACCACATTTCCCCTTTATTATCAGCATTATTATTATTATTATTTAAAGCTTTATTTATTTGTACAAGAACTGGGGTACTGTCATAGGGACAGGAGGGTGCGAGAATTCACCAGAGACAGAGCGGGGAGCAGAACAGGCAGACAAACCGAAGACACTGCCGAGGGGAAAAGCGAGCGGCAGGAGAGGTCTGCTGCGCCATGATGGTTTCTCCCTGGCCGGCCGGGAATCGAACCCGCACTGCAGAGGCTGTGGACAGCTTCACAGTGCGGCATTCAACCCACTGCACTTCCGGGGAGGCCCTCTCCTTTATTATTTTATCCAACACACTGTATGATTTTGACTCTCCTACTAGAATGTAAGCTTCATGATATCACATTTTATCTGTCTAAATCACTGTTCTACACAAGAGACTATGATGATGGTTCATGGGTGACTTGGTAGTGGGAATTTTATGGGGACTATGCATGAGAGGAGAAATCAAACATTGTGCAAAAATGAACAATGATGTAAATTATATATGTAAATAAATATAAATTTTTTAAAAAAATCACCACTGTAGCCCATCATCCAGAATAATACCTGGTATACAGCAGGTACTTGATAATTATTTGTTGGATGGATGACTGGGAATATGTGGGGCAAACATTGTTGATTCTTCCCTGTTCCCTTCTTCCTTGCTCACATCCCCTTAAGGATGCTGAAAGGCGTAGGTCCTCATTCTCTCAGTTTGCCTTATGCTGTGAGTGTTCATAGGGCCACAGGAGGAGGTACTGGGGAGATTCCAGTAAAAAGTTTTCTTCACCCGTAAAAGGAAAGAGGTCTGAGGAGAGTGAACCCCCCTCTCAGTGTCTTGTCTGTATGTATCTACCCTCTGCTTCTCATCTTTAATATTGATTTTTAAGGACAACTTTCTAAAATTTAAAAAATTGAATTATCCTCTCTGTCCACTGTTTGACAGTCTCTGCCTTTTTTCCACTGCATGTGTCATGGCCTCTGGACTTGTCTATCATCCTGGTCTCCCTGAGGGAGAGCTGACTTTGCCACTGCTGCGTACTTGCTCCTTGGGCACTTATTTATGGGCACCTACTGTAATGCAGTTGGGCAGGGCAGAACAAAAAAGCTGGTGTGTCCTGGGTCTAGACGGACTGGGGAAGACTGCCAAAAGATGGGGTCTGGCAATAGGGAAGACTTGGAAAGTGACTGCAGGAAGGGGTTTCAGGACAGGTCCCAAGAACGAGGGGCAGTTCAGTGGTCACGGGGCGGCAGAGGCCTCAGGGGACTTTCTCTTTCTCTTCAGGCTCTCACTGCTCTGATTGCAGACACGGGCTCTAGGTCTGCCTCTACCAGAGCTGTCTTGCTGGCGACAATACATAGCTCTGGATCTGGGAGGAACAAGCCGTGGGGTGGTTTCATTCTTGTGCTTTCTGCATAATGTAAATGTAATTAATCACGTCTATGATGGTTTATAACTTAGAATTTTTTTTTCATTTTTAGCAGTCTAATTAAATTCATTTATGCTTTATAAGTAGTTATTTTAGAATTTTTCTTTGTACCCCCACTGGTGTAGTGCTGAAAATTCACAATAAATATGTCTCAAGGTGACTACTGCCATTTTTAAATGAATCTCAAAGTACTGCTGAGTTACTGTAACTTAAATTAGCCATAGAAAAAATCTAGAGAACTGTTTTTCTTTCCTTCTTCTTAAAAACAGTACTACACTTTTAAAAATTAGGATGGGGACTCCTCTCAGCTGGGGAGGAGTCTTTGGGTGAGGATATGGAGGTGGTATATGTTTCTAGGGCCCTGCTCTGCTCAGGCCTCAGCTGTCTGACTTAGAAGAGAGACCACACACAATTCTCTGACTCTCAGACAAAAGCCTGTTTCGGGGACATTGTGCAGCGCTCACTTTAATGGTGCAGTAATTAAGTTAGAAATATGTGCTTCTTATCTGTTTTATGAATGCTCTACTCGTTGAGTTTACAAATTCTCCCTTAGAGTCAGAGAAAAAATATTTAAAGGGCTTTAAAAAATGATGACTAATAAAGGAAATGCAAATGAAGGCAACAATGGGATACCATTTCTCTTCCACCAAATTGTCAAAAGACTTACATCAATGATTAACACTGGTTACTGACAATAGTGCTGGCAGAGGTTTGCATAGGAACAATCTTTCTGGGAAAACTTTAACAGTTAATAACAGGAATCTGTATTTTGGCTAACTTTTTTTGTAGGGCAGTTTTTGTATAATCTTTTTTTTTTTTAAAGATTTATTTTTTATTTATACAAGAGCTGGGGTACAGGCCAGAAGCGTGGGAGGGTGAGAGGATTCACCTGAGACAGAGCGGGGAGCAGAACAAGCAGACGGACAGAAGACACTGCTGAGGGGAGCAGCGGGTGACAGGAGAGGTTTGCCGTGACGTAGGAATCTCCCTGGCTGGCGGGGAATCGAACCTGCTCTGCAGAGGCTGTGGACAGCTTCACAGCGCTGTACTCGTCCCGCTGCGCCACCGGGGAGGCCCGGTTTTCGTATAATCTTTGAATCAGAAATCCCACCATAGATTGCTCGGACTACAGCCTTTCCCCCCCCTCCAACATCATTGTTCATTTTTAAACAATATTTGTTCCCACCCCTGGCTGTAGTCCCCATAGAATCCCAAGGAAGCAGATGAGCTTAAGAAAATTGTAGATATAATGATTCTCATTCTTCCACTTATTAGTTATATGTTTGCTAAAAGTTCAAAAGAAAAGAAACATTTTTGTACATTCTTCTTTTCTGCCTTGTCTTGTATGTAATATTTCACTTCAATTCCTTCAGGAAACCTTGCTGCAAAGGCCATAAACTCCTGAGAGAGGAAGAACAGCTTGGGTTCCAGAGGTTTGCCCAGGGAGTCAGATGCGCCCGCCACCCAGTAGCTATCATGTCACCTTGGAATGGTGGACTAGCGCCTCCATTTTTTTTTTTTTCCCACCACTCTTTTTTATCCTGAAATCACTTCATTTGTTGTCATGTTCATTTTCTGACTCCTCACTCTAGAAACTCTGGCTCCTTAAGGACAGGGTCCAGTCAGGACTGTTGACCAATGTTTGTAGAGCTCAGAACATTAACTCCCTGGCCTCACTGGCTGTCATCCTCCTCAAGTGCAAAAGGAATAATAGCGGTGCCTACCTGCCTTGTGCTCTGTGTGGTCAGTACGAGCAAAGTGCTCAGAACATGTCTGCAGAGGGTCAGCGCTCCATGGATGAGGACTACATTTGCAGTCTCCCAAATCACTGAGAATAATCCTGGGTGGAAGGGTGTCAGGTTGTTAGAGAGCTGAGAACCAGGTCTAAGGAGATGATCATTTTCGCAGCCTGGGGCACTGGATCCCAGCTGCTAGCCAACTCTCTTCTCTTGTTTCCGCAGGGGTGGGGACAGAAATGAGACCTCATTCTTCAACAGTCAGCTGATGACTCAGGCCTTCCAGGAACAAGGGCCCATTAACCATTGACTTCTTGTAGAACTAGAAGTCCTGCTGGGAGAAAGGCTCTGAAATAAAGGGAGGGTCATGTGGTAAAGGAAGAGACTTTGTGAAGTCGTGTCCAGTGTGAGTGGACTGAAGCCTTCCCAGCCTTGCTTAACAGGGTCCCCCCAGTGACGGGGTTATTATCTATGGTCAGAGGGGCCGTGATGGTGGTGGCATTAATGGCAGTGGCAGTGATGCAGCTGGTGGTGCTGGAGACGGTGACAGTGATGGGGCTGTTATTCGTGATGGTAGGAATAATGACAGTGTGGAGGAATGATGGGTGGTGGTCTCATCTCCAGTAGGATAAAAAAATCAGAATTTAAGAAATGCAAAAGCAGTTAGTCCTTGTTATTTTTCCAGAACTTAGTTTTTTTTTCCTTATTATTTTTTCCCCTCTATTCTTCACATTTTTACATCACAGATATCTTCTTTATCTAGGACTTCTCCTTACTCTGGATCTGCTTGTTATGTCTAGGATAAATATATATATATATATATATATATATATATATATATATTACTAGGGTAGCAAACTATATACTTTTGCCTTGCTTTTATAAAGCATAACTATGTTCTATTATTATGGGACGAATCCCTGCATTCTATAAAGTGCAGTCTTTTCAGAGAAAGGTTCATACCGCTCCAGGACTTCTTTTCAACTTGTATTTTGTTGCACATGACCTAACATGCTGCAATTGTAGGACACCCAGAATGCAAAGACTGATAGCTGCCATAATAATGACCCAGGGGATATGTTGACCTCCCTTCATCATTCCTTCCTCAGCACATTTAGCTCCTGTGGGGTGACTCCTGCCATCTTCTCCTGCTGACATTAACACCAGAAAAGGTTCAATCCAAATGGGTATCAAGTTGGTATTATTTTTGGAGATGCTGGTAGAGCTGTTATCATTGTCAGACCAACTGCTAGTATTGTGTTTGCATTTAGTCTCTGGTTGCTGTCTTATTCAGGGTATTTTTCTTTCTTTCTTTTTTTTTTTTTTTTAGAGCTGTGTGGGTGAGTACATTGATGGCATGCTGATCACATTTCCAGGCTGCCATGGGGCTGTGAGTAGCGCTAATAGAATGGATGAAAGAATAATGAGCCAAAGCAATGTTGACAGCCTGGAATGCCAGCTCAAATCAAGCAACCTGGGCCATAACACAGACCAACGCAAAGTCTAGCATTTGGATCCAAGCGACAAGTTACACGAGGACAGCAGGTAAGGGACACTCGGGCCATGCATCTGGGAAAAATTCATGAGTCGCAGCAAACAGTGTGAGATGACTGCCAAAAAAGTGAAATTGAGGGTTATTAGAATGGAAAGGAAACAGCTCTGTTCTGAGCAGCCTTCACTGGGGGCTTGTGTTGTAGTTTCTTCAACATACCTGACAAATAAGAGTGGCGTTGAGCAGAGAGGTTAGGATGGTGGGGCTGAGGTAAGGACTCAAGGTGCCATATGGATCTCAGTGTAGAAAGACCACTAGACCCAAAGCTCAGGTGAGGTGTTAGAGGTTGAAACATGTTCCATTATAATGTACTGAAAGCTCAACAAGCATCGCTTAGGTGATTAAGATGTGATTATCTCACAGGATGAGATGTCTGGAGGTAGGCCCCTCCAGGGTGAGCAGAGGTGACTTAATGCTAACATCAAAGCCCAGGGTCCTGCTCTGTTTGTGCTCTGCCTCCTTGGCATGTGATTCTCATCATGCATTGTGCAACATTCAAGGCAGGGAGAAGTGTGAAGAGGCAGAGCCAGGGAGCTCTTCCCAAACACATTAGCCTCTATAAGGAAGCAAACACTTTTCAAGAATTTTCTTAACAGGTTTCCTTAACCTCTTATTAATCACGTATGTCTTATGGCTGACCCTTTGACCCTTTTGAAGACTGACTGGACCTCATCCCTGGAGCTGAGGGAGGGCTATCTTTCCTGGAAAAAAATGGCTGTCTATCTCATAATGAAACCACATCAGCATTTTCTGAGCTCACAAGAGGGAGACATGAGGGTGGCTGTTGGGTGGGCAACCAAGTGCATCCACCACTTGGGTATAAGTATACATTTCAAATACGAGAAGATACTTCTTCTTGATATGCAGAAGAAAGTTTAAGATACTCCATATGCAAAATTTGGCAGATATAGTGCCAATTGATAGAAGATATGAAGAAGTCAATTTTTAGTTTTACTTGAGTGAAGATTTCAGGATTAGCTGTAATTATCTGGAATTGGAGGGTGAAGCTTTAATGGCGAAGTGAAACAGAATTAGCAACTACCCAGGAGGGACAAGATAAAGTGAATACTAGTTGGGGGTTGGGGAGGGTGTGAGGAGAGGGCAGGCAGTTACACTGACCTGTGAGTTTCCTTACAGCCCAGAGAGCCTATGATTTTACTAATTAGTTTTTTCTTTTCAAGTGTTCATTAGATAATTATGCTAATTGGAGATGATGTTTCCACTAAGTGAGGTATAATTTTGAGTGGAAAGGCATTTTTTATTTTTAGCATCATTGTATGAGATATAGTTTGCCTTGGACAGTCATGCACTTTGTAGTTGAGGGGCACGTTCATCCTGTGTCATCATGGAAGTGTGTGCCCTAAATAGTCTTTCTGAGTTTGGTGCATGTGTGCCCTCCATGGACTTTTTCTGCCAAATGGGGCTTCTGAGGCCTTCCATTAACAAGGATGGCTCTGGAGTGTCTCCACAGAGGTGCTGGGATCCCTGGAGGAAATGCAGCCAAGCCTCTGCCACTCCTGCAAGGACTGAGGAGCTCTCTGCATTTGAAAAAGCAGGTGTGTGAATCTCTGGTTGACATCCTTGCATTAGCTCATCTTCCACCAAATGAAAGGAGGTGTTATTTCTTTCCAGCAGCTTCACCTTTGTCCCCCCCGCCCCCACTCGCTGCTATTTCATGTTCAGCTGCTCATTCGCCACACACACTACAATTAGTGATGTCTGCCGCACATGTGCCATGCCAGTAACAGGCAGCAGAGAGGCTTCCCTTTCCCCTTTGCTTTATGCAGTTTTAATTAATAGCCCTTTCCCTCACTTATCTTTTTTTTTTCCCCCTATAAAATTGGAAATCACATAATGTGACTTCTGTGTATACTCAGTTCCCTTTCATGCTTTCCTGTTTATTTCTAGTGGCTATAGTTTTAGCTTCATTGTTAGTAATAATAGTCATTATTTGCTGAGATATTAGTGTACACCAGGGTCTGTGCTAAACACTTTGTAGAGGAAAGCTCTTTGAAATGTCACCATAGATGGCCCTGTGACATATTTTTCTTGACCCCGTTTTACAGAGGAGGGGACCAGGACTGAGAGAGGGACTCCCCTAAGGTCACCTAGCTAGAAAGTGGCTGGATCTGAAGCTAGTCTCCTTAGAGAATCCAAATTCTTAAGCTCTCTGCCACATAGAATTATTGCCCTACCTCTTCTGTAGCTTCACCGTGGATCCTGTTAAGAACAAGGTTATTCAGCTTCTCAGGAGGACGAGGAGAAATTGGAGAGCCTCCCGGGAAGGTCCTGGAGAGTGATTAAGAGGATGAGAGTAAGACTGGTGAGAAGACTCAGAGGAATTAGAGTAATTCAATCTAGAGAAATAAATTCTAGGGTCTAAATTAATGGCATTCACTGATGTCTTCGTGAGAATCAGTGAAAATATTTTAATTTTTTTTAAAGATTTATTTATTTTTATACAAGAGCTGGGGTACAGGCCAGAGGCGCAGGAGGGTGAGAAGATTCACCAGAGACAGAGCAGAGAGCAGAACAGGCAGACGACCGAAATACACTGTTGAGGGGAGCAGCGGGCGAGACAAGAGAGGTCTGCTGCGCCATGTGGGATTCTTGCCAGCTAGCTAGGATAGAACCCACAGTGCAGAGGCTGCGGACAGCTTTACAGCGGGCGCTCAACCTTCTGCACCACTGGGGAGGCCCAATGAAAATATTTTAAAAATAGGAGCCAGTTTGCTAGTTTTATTATATAATGTCAAAGGCATGATTTGACTATTATTTTATTTGATAAATTCAACAAATGTATAATAAGCAGCCACCCTGGCGTAGATACAAACTGAACAAAACATGCCAGGACCCTCCTCTGGTAGAACTTACATTTGTGGCAGAGGTAGGGGAGGGCAGGGAGGAAGACCAGTGTCAGCAAGGACACCACCCACCTGCAGAATCATTCCAGTAAAGAAGTGCTATGAAGATACCAAGACAAGATGGGGAAGTGAGTGGGGACAGATGGCTTCTCCAAGGTGGGCACATTTAAACTGAGACCTTAAAGTCACATGAAACTCTGGGAACATAGTGGTCCAGGCAGCAGTGATCTTAAGGAGGGGACACGTGTTGCAATAGAGGAAGAAAGCAAAAGGGTATGGCTGGATGGTGGAGTGATAGGTGCTTGTGTGGGGGCTCTGGCTGGCACCTCATCATGCAAGGTCCTGGGAAGAGGATGGGCAGAGGGTCCTGTGTGTGAAGGGTCCCTCACTGGCTGCCAGTAGGAAGCATTTGAGGAGGTGGGAGTGAGAGGTGTCAGGTGAGAGATGCTGCAGCAGCTTGGCCGGGGTGGAGGCAGGGGAGGTAGAGAGACATAGATCCCCGGGTCTACTTGTATAGCTCTGACAAGAAGTCATGGAGGATGAGAATTGAAGATGGGGCAGGAATGATAGAGGAACAAAAGACTCAAGAATGACCACCAGGAGTGCAAAGTGGTCAAAAACACGATGGAAAGCTGTCTGGAGGTTCCTCAGTCTACTAAAAATGGAGCAACCATATGACCCAGCAATTCCACTCCTAGGGATCTACCCAAAGGACACAAAAACCTTGTTTCAAAAGAACACCTGTACCCCTATGTTTATTGCAGCACTATTTACAATAGGTAAAACCTGAAAACAGCCCCAATGCCCGAAAATAGATGACTGGATCAAGAAGATGTGGCATGTATACACAATGAAATATTATTCAGCAATCAAAAAAAGATAAACTTATGCCATTCGCAACAAAGTGGATAGAACTGGAAGAAATTATGCTCAGTGAAATAAGCCAGAAGGAAAAAGAAAAATATGGGATGGTTTCACTTATAGCAGGAATATAGGGGAACCAAATAAGACATCAGTGTAAAAAAATAACAACAGTACAAAACACAGCAAATCAGAAACAGACAATTATAAACCAGAGACATCCTGCAGGGGAGGAGGAGGGAGAGGGATCAGAGGGAGGGAGGGAGGAGCACAGGGACTGAGGTGATGGTGCACGGGGGCATTGGTGAAGGAAGCTTTATGGGGACTACACCTGAGGGGGTGGGGGGAAGCAAATATTGTTTAAAAATGAACACTGATGTAAAAATATATATATATATATATATATATATATATATATATAAATGAAAATGAAAAAAAAAAAAGAATGCCCACCAGATTTTTGGAAAAAAGAATCAATGGTTTCTTTTGTCATTTGCTGCAATATAAAATGGGTACCTTGCATAGGTGTTCTTGGTCTGATACTCCTGGGCTATCAATTCCATGTAACACTCTGGATGTCTGTATATCCTTCGTGAGAGAAGACCCACACCTCTTACCTCTCATTTCTTGGAAGGAGAAGTTTCTTATCCCACCTCTCAGCAATGAAAAGGTTGAGCCACACACCCTCCCCACCCACTTCATTTTGCAAGCAGAGAAACTGAATTTAGAGAGCAGTTTGAAAAGGTCACCCCAGATCTGGTACTTGGCAGAGTCCATCATCTCCTGACTCCTCATGCAGAGCCTTCTCCACTAGTGAGTTGTCTCCTGGCACAAGGAGGCAGAGGTTTCAACAAATAGTGATTCTATTTCTCCTCACCTGGACAAAACAAGGGCCCCTTACTATTTAGAGGTCAGTTCTTAGAACTGGTGGCTTTGGATCCTGTCATGTTACGCTTTCTCTCTGGCCAGCCTACTTCAAGTTTCAGCAGGTCTAAGAAATGTTCCCAATATTCAAGTGTCTATGAAATGCAAGTAAGATCCAGGTGTGACTGGAACTGAAATTAGACAGCAGTGAGGTATGTGTGTTGATCTATTTTGGGGTGCAAATCACCACAGTGTGGGACCTGTAGGAGGGTGGTAAATGCCTCGGGGAAGTGTTCCCTATGTGATTTTTTTTGGTAAGCCTTGGGTTATAGTCCATACAGGATCTTGAATAGAAATCTCTGTTGTTGTAATTCCACTATGTACCTTTCAACAGCAGAAGTGAGTGTGTCAGGTTAGACCAAGGTGAAATGAATACAGGTTTCTTTTCAGTACTGACTTTTTGCACTTCAGGCACGCTTTTATGGGTGAGTCTCAGAAGGTCAGCTAAAGGAAACAGAAGCAAAAAAAAAGAAGTTCCTAAAAAAAGCTGTATTAGGAAGACAAAACCATAATGTTTCTAAAAGTGTGGACTGATAAAAGGAAGACTTCCTCCCATAACTTCTCAAAGAAAATTTTAAAAAAATTTAGAATGACCTTTTATGTAGCCTGGCAAGCAAAGCACAAAATGATGAAAGTATTAAAATTATAATGCCCCCTACCCAGAAGCTTAATGTGATGGGGTAGGAATTTAGACAGTATCTGCAGCCACGTTCCTTGTGGAATCACAATCGCCTCAGGACCTGGGGCCAATGTTAATGATATGTGATGCTCAGCCAAAGCTAAACCTATGGAGAGTCTAAGATAGAGAAGTGTCTTCTTAACCAAACTTACTCTGTGAGAACTTTTAGATGTACTTTTTTTTTTTTTTTTTTTTTTTATGTCAAGGCAGGTACTTTGTCTCAGAGAAACCTCTGCTTAAAGAACTATGTGTTATTTGGGAAATTCTACCATGAGAAACCATGAGTGACATTATCAAGTTGGTTGGCTAGTGGAGTAGTTGGCAAAGGTCAGAGGGAATTAGCCATGCAACCAGATGTGTTATGATGAGTTAAGGAAGGTATGAAAAATTCTGGGGTCAGTGGTACCTGGTGTGACAAAGCTCTTGCAGTAAGCAGACGTGGGGTGACAATTCTGAGTACTGGTAACTGAGCTAGTCTCCTGATCTGGCTCTACTGGGACTGTATTGTCAAAGTCAAGGCATTATCTTTGCAAAAAGCTTAGTTCTGCTGAAAGTACACAGAAGCTTGGAATTAGACTATTTGCTTAAAGCTTTAGTTAAGCATGGTGGTTAGGACCCAAGAATTGTGGGTTGGGATCTTATGTATTCAAATGGCTAAGTTCAGTTCGGGCCTCCTGCTAAGTAGCAATTGAGCTTGCAAATTCAGCCGCCTCTACAAATGTAGTCACTTTAACCTAAGAAGTGATTGCTATCCTTCTAGTTTTGGAGAGGAGTTAGTCCATCTCTGTTTCTCCAGTTTTAGCTTAGCTAGCCAAACTGTAGAACTGTAAAGATTGAATCAGCAAAGTCTATCCGGGGAGTAAAATGTTTACTACATGAAGGTAAATTCACCTCTAAAAAAATATTTTCTCTCAGTCTGAGAGTCTGTACAATTTGCGTTAGATATGCATTTGGTTTGAGCGCCCTCACCACAAAATATTATAATCTTGGGACCCTCACATGATTATTAGTCACTCCTGGAAAACTCTAGCTCTTGCTCTTATTGCAATAGGAAATAATGAGCATTTAGTTCAAGCCGGACAGATAAATAAACTGAGGCGCAGAGGGCTTTACTGCTTGCCAAATCTAGAAGCAAATGGAACTAGGGTTTGATCTCAGGTCCATCTGGTTGTAAAACTGATCACATTTCTAACATCCTATGTTTGATAAGAGCCAGATTTAGCAAATTGGTAGCTATGGCGGGAGCAAGACAGAAAGGTGTTTCTGGCATCTGGGGAAAGAGAAAATTTCTCTTTATCCTTTTTTGAGACATTTCATAAAATCAATGGTTCACTACATCAGTCGTTCGTGGTCTGGGAAAGCCCTTCCTTTCTCAACTCCCCCATCTATCCAAGCAGATGGTGGAACCAGATCACCTCTCAGGACCCTGCCGGCCCTGACTTAATCTTTGTCCCAGAGGTTAGCCAGTGGCAGTTCTGGCTATGTGTTAGATACGGGTTGGGTTTTCCTTTGTAGCAAAGATTGGCCACGTAGCCACCAAATATGTTTCCTCTTCTAAGACACAGCTAAATTGTGTTTCCAAGTCCCCTTGCATATGTGACTAAGTTCTCACCAATGAATGCAAGGACAGGTTGCTGTGTCATTTCTAGGCTAAGACAGCGGACAGCCTTTATGCCTTGTTCCGCTCACTTTGCCCCTTCCACAACAACCTTGGAGAGTATGTGATGTGGAAACCATCTTTCCCGAGATGGAGGAAGTCTGGATTCCTGTATCAGTGGTTGCTGCCAAGGAAGCAACTCCACCAGAACATCTCTGCATTAAACTTTCTGAGGTCAGCGAGACTTTTGCTGGAGAGAGGGCCCTAAGCAGAGGTGTTCTCCTAAGCACCTCCTAGGAAAGTGCCCAAGGAAAGCACTGCTTGCAGGGACTGGGAGAAAAAAAATAACAGAAAGCCCTTTTGAGATGGCTAACGGCTCCTTATGAAATGAAATCATATTCCTAGGAGGGCCCACAGGCTTCTCCCTGCACCTAATTAAGCCCTTTC